CGGGGGGGGGGGGGGGGACGCAACACTTCAAAGCACACAAGCTGTGCAAATAAATCATGCTTTATGCAGTGATTTCCAAAGCTCCTTTTCAGCAATGTAAATGTTAAAGAAAAATGAAAGCAAAGTTTATTTGTACTAAAACTAAATCTGTTTAAAACCAAATATGATTTTTATATAAGAACCAAGAAAAGGACTTTGTCCAAAAGTCTACAATGGTAAACTGCATACTGTACCTTTAGCCGTATGACCTCCATGCAGTGATTGTCCTTGTTTCTCACATTCTTTTCCCACAGGAGATTCTGTATCAAGTGACATATTTTAATAAGACCAAGCAACAACTATGTAACAAAACAGTTGATAAATCATTAATCACTTAAAAATTGCATTCACCTGAATAAATACATTCAGATTTTCTTCCTTTGCATTTCCTGGTACTTCAAATGTGATTGTAACAATACTCTGTAAACCAAGAGAAATAATCAATACTGATTTTTTATAGTAATGTCAACATATTTTTTAAAACCACAAGTTTTAAGATGAAAAGGAGCACAAGTTTATATTGCCTAACGATATATATCAGGTATTATATTTTTCTCACTATATATGTGGTTTTTAGAATTAGCAACTCCATTTTCTATATTCGATGGGGTTGATCAACAGTTTAGTATTTACACAAAATACTATTTCATGCAAAAAAAAAATATTTACACAAAAAACTCCCATGGAAGGGCCCTCATTATTTAATTCATTCTTTCCCAGATTTCCAGCAATAGGAAGGAATGTAACATATAGTGTACTGACTATGTACTGAGTTTTGCCTGGGCCACCTCATTTCATCTTTTCATTTACTCTTCCCAACAGTCCTGGGGAGGAGTAAAGATAACTATTTCCATTTTATAAACTGGGGGAAATGAGGCTCAAAAATAAACTCCTCAGAGCTAGGAGTAAAAATCAAAAGAAAAAGTATAATTCTGTTCTCTTGGAAAAATAAATACAAAGGAAAAGTTCGATTTATCTGTAAGTGAACAAGCATGTGCTAAGGGGGGAAGAGTTTTTAGAGATGAGAATGACAGTACTCGTATAATGTCATCTTTGGCTTTAGAAGGTTGACATCATCATTTATGGAATATTAACTTTGAGATTTATTTTTCCTCTTGATCTTGATATACCTCACACTGTCCACTCTAAAGAACCAGAAGCTTGAGATTTCCTTTAACAGGTCACATAATTAAAATCCAAATCTCCATCTGATAATATAATCCAAAATTTCAAACTTAGTGATGAAAATACACAAGAGTTAAGCATAACATGATAAAAACACAAACCCTATCTTAGATAATAAGATGCTCAAGCCAAACTCAAAATGGCTGAAACAGGCAGAAAGAACATACTAAAGCACAGCTTTGTGTAACTTCCTAGAACTGCATATCTGGCCCAGCAATTTTACCCACCATTTAAAAATCATATATGTTTATAGTAGAAAACAGGAAAAGAACAGAACTGTTCTTTTTTTCTAATCCAAATTTAGAGAATAGCTAAAGGTAAGTGTTAAAGACCAATTTAAGCTCAAATACATTGACATTTAGTCTCCATGGTTGCTAGTAATAGAAAGAGCAGAAAGTGCTTTCTTGCCCAAATATGAGAAGCACAAGTCAATTTTTTAAAAAGTTTCATGTCAGACTTTAACATGTGAGACAATTAAAAGTATTTATTTTGTCACAATAGCCAAGAGGTGGAAACAAGCTAAATGTCCACTGATGGATGAACGGATATAGAAAATGTGGTATATATGAGTGTACTTCAAAAAGTTTGTGAAAAAATAGAATTAAAATATGAATTTTCCATGAACTTCTTGAAGTACCCTCATACATACAATGCAATATTAATCAGCTTTAAAAAAGAAAATCCTGTCATATGTTACAACATGGATGAACCTTGAGGACATTATACTAAGTGAAATAAGCCAATCACAGAAGGTCAAATACTGCATGATTCCACTTACATCGGGTATCTAAAATAGTCAAACTCATAGAATCAGAAAGTACAATGGTGGTTGCCAGGGGCTAGAGGGAGGCAGAAATGGGGAGCTGCTGTTCAATGGGTATAGTTTTTATCAAGCAAGATGAAAAGGTTCAAGGGATCTGCTGTACAATAATCTGCATACCGTCAACAATACTATATTACACACTTAACATTTTGTTAAGAGTGTACATCTCATGTTAAGTGTTTTTTAACCACAATAAAAAAGACTTACTTTGAAATCTTAATAACATATTCTGCTTCTAAACTGGTTTTTACAGTTTAAGGTAAGAACAATATGCATTTAAACAAAATGACATTTTCTTTCCTCATTAAAGAAATCACTGCAAATACCTAAAAATCCAAATATACAGCAAATCAAAACACATAGATAAAGCTGCCAAATAAAACACAATTTGTCAGTTACAAAAGATAGTAATTTGGCCTATAAAACGCTTAAAATGTATTTTATTCAAGTTGGATAACTTAGATTTTAATATTGAAAATGTTTCAATATAGGACTCAATACAGTCCTATTGCTTTAATCCTAAAGATTTTTATAATGGTTTTTGCTTCTGGCAGCTTAGAGATATATGACTTATGTTTAAGGGGTAGGTACAATTAACTCTAGTGTGAGACAAAAAAGTTTTTTAAAATTCAGATAATGTATCACAGGGCTCAGAGAACTAGGTTTTTTTTAATACCAATAAATGCTTCTCACTTTAGAAAAACCCAGAATATGAAATCTGTAAATCCCCAGTTCAGAAGATAAGGGTCACAATTCATACCTGGCTTGTATAATAAACCAAGCATAGACTGCCACTTGGGTTTTCTCCTCCACCTTCCCACCCTCCAAACCCAGGTCCTCCTTATGGGGAATGAACAAGGAATCCATGAAAAATAGAGAGCTGCATTAAATATTATTCAAGAATAAAACTTTAATAACACATACATAGAATGTCCTAGGTATTATCCATTTCAGACTTTTTTTTTCCCCCTGGGTTTATTTTTGCTTTGAGTCTAAAATTAACTCTCTTTTAATAACGTCTGAAAACACAGAAGCAGAAAAGTGAGGCAATAATTCCGAAAACAAAAGCACAATAAGGAGCTGCCTCTAAAATAAAATTTAGGAGTAACTCAAGTTTGTTTATTTGGTCTGTATTTTCATTAACCTACTGGGTTATTTCTCAGTTTTTTACTCTTTTTGCAAATACCTAGTATGCAATAACTTCTACATGTTTTCTTCATCTGGAACCCTAAGCCCACTAATATGCTTAAACTTGAAATCTGTTATCTCCACACTGCAGCTCTCTATTCCTCTTTGCCTGTGTAATATCTATGATATCCTGCTACCAGGTACAATGTGAGCATATGGCGTTTTCATCCAAATCACTTTGCCTTCCAGATTTCTCTATTTCTAGGATCCTCTAGTCAGTCTAGGTTTTTTTCCTTCTTCTTATTGATCCATTCCTAGACAGCATACCCAGGCACGTCTACTTGTGAAACAACTCTTGATTTATTCCATTTTTAGTCTCACTGTAACCAACACAGTTCAGGCCCTTATCACATGTTATCTTCCTGTTTGGTCTCCTGACTTCAAAGTCCAATTCAGCCTGTGTAATGCTGATGGGACAGCACAGCATGAATTCATTTTGCCCAATACTTTAGACCAGGATTCTAGTACCAACAGTCCACCAAGACTCCAGCACTAGAGATCTGATCTTCCAGAACATACATTCTCCCCCACTCTCAAACATCTGGATTGTTCTTTCCCTTACTACTCCCTGTCAAGAAAATTCTACCAGTTCAAGGCTACTTTTTGGTGTTTAAGTCAGAGTAGCAGTTACTCCTTTGACCAGGAAGGGGCAAAGAACTCTACAGTTTTATTAATCTTTTACATCTTGACCTGAGTGGTAGTTACAAGGATATTTACTTGTGTGGGCACACAAATAGATATATAGGTCAAATATACATAAAGATACATTGAATTATACACTAAAAACTTGCATGCTTTATTGTATGTAAAAACAACAAAAAAAAAACAAAAAACTACTACTTTTCATGAAGTCTCTAATGGGATTCGGGGCACACTATCCCAAAATATGACACTTTGGTATTTAAGAAAACAGCAAAGCAGGAAGGTTACTCTCACCTTCCCCATGCTCTTCCCTGAAGCAGGTTATAAAACCTGGGAAGGATTTTCTACCTTCCCCTGAAGCAGGTCATAAGACCCTCATTCAAGTAGTGTTGGTTACAG